AATGTTTTGGCCTTAGGATATCATCAGGTCTAAAAATTAAGTGATAAGCGCTAACAAAACACTACTAGGACGTCCCCATAAAAAGGTTAAAAAAATACACGTGCATGATTAAAACCGAGCCCCAACAAGGGTAAGGTAGTTGTAAGAAATATCATATGTGGGACATGTTGATAAATGTGAGAATATGGCGATGAGTAGTGTTAGCCTAAAAGTTTCTTTATGCAAATCTTTTTCAACTTGTACAATTTCTATCATATTTCCCACATGGTATCTCTTACAACTGCCTTTTTAATCATACACGTGCATTTATTTTTAAATATTTTATGGAGACGTCATTTTATATTGTAAGCGCTTATTACTTTATTTTTAGACCTGATGATGGCCTAATCCCGAAACCGGTTGTCATTTAACTTCCTAAAATTAAATTACGTGGGATTGATTTTGAGTAATTTTTTTACCTTTAAGGTACATATTATAATATATTAGTTAGTTATTCTGTATACTATCACATTTTTCTACTCTTTTATACTATTTGATTTCAAAAATGTATACCTGAGGTGTACATTGAATCGTCTAGAAGTTGCATTTCTTGAGCTTTTGTTTACGTTCTTTCTTTCTTTCCCTTTCTGTCTATTTTTTTTCTTTCTCTTCTCACCTTTAAAATTATGGATAGTTTTCATTGAAATTATTTAATATTCATTTAATTATTAAATAGTACCCAACCATAGCGCGCGAACGTATCCTCCAGTCAGTTTTTTTTTTTATTTAAATTTTTTGACTGCGCGAAATGAGTCCATTCGCCAAACCACATAGATTATATTGTTCTAATTTTATACCATATTTTAAGGATAATGCGCTCACCCTAAATAATTTTATTTCAGTAAAGTTCATAGTTGAGAATGATTGAGCGGACCAGTGGAAGACTTAACAAAAGCTCGCCAGGTCATATCCATCTCTTAGCTGGATCGCTTGGGCCGTCCGCGCTCAACACCTCACCTCCCGCGGCTTACAACATAAACAAATAAAACATAATTATATTGAAGTTTGGCAACGTTCTTCGCATCGAATCATAAAGATCTCCCGCGTAATCTATTATTGTGCCAGCAGTCTCTTCTGGCGGCGACATAAACTAACAAATATTATTTTATCACAGATAGAACCCTGTAACTTTAATAAATTGTATACTTAATTTGATTCGACAGGCAGAGCCATCTCTAGAGTCAGAAACGAGTGAGGAGGTGGGTCCATATAAACCTTAAGTAAAATATTTTTATTTTTGCCGTCCGAATCTACAGTTACAATTTGACTCATTACTTTTGACTCGCCCTGTATAGATATCTCTATTGTAATTAAAAAAAATTTCACAAATTGTCTTAAATCAAAGCTTAGATATACTACTTTTACGCCTTACACTGTTGCCAAGACGCACAAAAAGTACATCTATTTCTCATTTTAAAATTTGTTTTCTTTATCTCTTCACTTATCTTTCACTTCTTTCACCAAAACTTCCAATTTGGTTTCTATTTATTTATTTTCCATTCCATCTAACTTTCCTTCCACTTTTCCATCATTTAAATCACCTCTTCTTTATCTTCTGTTTTGAATTTCCTAATTTCTTCTTTGTCTTTATTATTTTCTTGTCCATTTGATCCATTATTCTATAAATAAGGTGGCAAATGATATCCGATGAAATTTGTTAAAAAAGTTGAGGGTGGTTTTCAAAAGGAAATGTAGTTTTTGAAACGTTTTTAAGAAAGTATTAGAATATCAATAAAACAGTTTTTAATTATTTTTTATCTTTTAAAATAAGCTCTGAATATCCTAACAACATAGGTATTACCTAAAGAAACTTTGATTTTACTAGGATTTTATTAATTAGAATTTTATATCTTCCTAAGACAATTGTTATCAGTGTTTTTTAATCATGAAATACTTATATTTCATTAAAAATTATTTCATTATCTACTTATCTATTTAAATATGCCATTTATTTCAATTCATTTAGTTTTTAATTTAGTAGTCTTCTATCCAAAGTCAATATGACATCAACTGATACCAAGGAAAAATGCAGTAAAATTGTAAATAATAATCGTTTCTCGGGAACTTCTACTCAATTGTTAGCAGTTTTCGCTGGTAAATATTATATTTTGATATGCTTTTTTATTGTTATTTATCCTGTATAAAAAAGTGTTTACTTTTAAAAAATATCATTCTTATTTGGGAGACCCTTTAAATATTATTCAGACAAAGTTAGTAGGAATTTAAATTTTTAACACAAGATTAGTCCCCAAACTCTTGTTTCATTAGTAAAAAATACCCAGCTGCGCCACAGCAATATTCGCAAAAGTGTCGTCATCGCCAGCGCCATATTGGTAATCAAATTGGAAATAATTATTTGTCTTAAAACAAAACAGAAAAGAAAGAAATAAGAGAAGTAGTGTCTCAAATATCTAGCTTAGTATCACTTATAAATTTAATTAAAATATAAGTATAAGGGGTTAAAGAAAAGGTCCTTTATTTCTCACAAGTCAATTTTAATTGGCGACCGGTTTCGAAGCTATTACTTCATCATCAGGCACACCTAAATGGAATGTCAAGGAGTCAGTTGTAATACAAACAATTATAAAAGTATGAACGGACATTAACATATATAAAATAACAGAAAAAACACAAAAGAAAATTAAACAATGACCTTGACTCACCCTGACTATTTCCATAAAGGAAGTGCTACATAAAGTTTAACAAACGAGTTAAAAAAATCATGTAATACCTACAATAGTATTTTTTTAAAAATATTTTTAGGTTAGGTTAAACCGCGAGATGTCTGATTGAATAAATTAATAATTAAAACACATGTAAGACAATTTTCAACTAAACAACACAAAATAGTTTTTACAAGCACAAACAGTTAAAATTTTTTAAAGAATATAACGTTAATTACAAATGAAAAGTAAAAATGAAATTATCAGACCCCCATGACATCTATCTAGATTTTAACGAATTAGTGCAGTAAACTGTAAATTTTAAATTTAGCGGATAAATAGTGTACTAAAAAAGGTGTTATTTACTGAAAGTGAGTATAGGTGGCGGTGGAACAATTTATTGATAGTAAAAATATTAAATTGGGAATGAGAAAGTAAAAAATACTAATAAGAAAAAAAGAAAAATAGAACACTAAACAAGAAAATATGAAAATTCATATGTAAAAGTGAAAATTGAAGCAGATAATCAAAAGAAAAATTACTGTTACAGGAAACAGAAACTAAGTTGACAAGTACGAATGTCAAAAAAGAAAAGTCAAATTTTGGCGTATAACAACCAAGCGTTATTTTTACAATTATTCAAATCTTTATTTTTTTGTTACGATATTACATAAACCTATTTATTAAAGATGTTATTCTTTTAAAAATTATTATGTATTATTCTGATTAACCTTGCATTTTTCTTTTAACAACATTTTCTCTTTTTTCTTCTATTTCTAGATTTACAATTTCAGCAGTACATGAGTTTGGTAATTTATTTATTTTCTTTTCTATAATGTCTTAATAAGACTGTCATTAAACGATTGGGGGTGCACTAATTTAATTAATAATAAAACCTAATTAGCAGAGTTGGTACGCTCTTAATTAAAAACCTATTAAAAATTTCGCAACATTTTATGAACCAAATCAATACTTTAAAAACTTGTCGATTCCAAAATAGAAATTATTATTTTTGATTGAATAAACATCATGGTCAATTTTATTAGGAACACGTTCCATATCTGCATGTACGAAATATTTTTAATTTTATCAATACATGAACAAAGATGTGACCTACTGCAAACAATTTAAATATAATGGGCTTCGAGCGATTACTGCTAAAACGACAATTTCTTTATCATTACAATTACCATTGATTGCAATTTAAGAAATGCATGCAATCAATTGTTTTATAATGTTATTATATTGTTATAAAATGTTTAAATCATCAGTGTATAGATTGAATTTTATATATATTTTATATTCCTGTTGCTAACCGGACGTTGTAATTATTCCTCAGATTTGTACTCAGAATGTGGGATACAATTTTCGAAAAAATTATGTTTAATACTTGATTGGTATTTAGCAACCTAGCTATAAAATATTCTTGATAGATATTACTGGAATCTTCTTTTACTTGTACTTTTACTTATGACGACCGCAGCACACCGTAGGGCGATGAGAACATTCCATTTCTTTTTCTATCTGTACGTTTCCTATAATAGCCGCAGGCTACTGCAGGGTGCTGCGTAACAATATTAAAATTGGGTAGAATAAGATAAAAATCTTACTTTTTTAAATTAAGAATTTTATTTATCTCTTTTATCCATTACCTATACCTAAAGAAGAGTCTATTAAATGACACAAAATTTATTTATTTTAATGCAAATTCCATGTAATATCCATTGGCATAAATATTTGTAAGGAAAGTGTGCTTAAAATCGGCTACTTAATGTTTGAGTAGCCATAAATAATCGATAAATCAAAAAAATCCCTCCAAAAACTTACAAACATGTTATCTACAGTGTTTTTCATTATATGTCAAAACCATTTTTACAATAAATTATAAATATTAAAAAGAGCCACTGTCCCGTTTTAGGAGTATTATAGTTATAATTGGACACATGTTTGAAGTTAAACGAAATAACTTCAAAATTATTGTTTTTAAATGATTTATCACCCTATATACTATAACACCATATATAGCCACTTCACAATACATGTGTTAACATGATTTTATAATGTTTTATTAAAAATCTATTAAACAATGTTTATAAAGTCTTTATCAGGCACTAATGCCTATTTGCTTGTCTTGTTATCTATTGGATACTTCAACAGGATCAATGCGGTACTGTCGACCCCAGAGGCGACGGTATCCTAATTTGCTGACTCTACCCATATACTTCCCTAACAAGCTCTGAATAAAGTGCTATAAACACCAATAAATATAAATCGAAACTTAATTTACTTCTGTTTTAGGTTCCTTATTCGCAGTCTCAGATGGCATGACATACGGATGGACCGCCCCCATGCTTCCTTACCTCATCAGCGAAAATAGCCACATCAAAACAACGAAAGAAGAAGTAGAATGGCTGGAAACGACACTCATGGTTGGCTCATTCTGTGGCCTACCAATCACTATCTACCTAGTAGATAAAATAGGACGAAAGAAATCATTACTATTAGCAGCAGTGACTTCTCTAATCGGTTGGACAGTCATAGCTTTGGCGAATAAAATGGTATACTTACATGTTGCGAGGTTTTTCTTTGGAGTTATTGGCAATATGTCATTTGTCAGTATGCCAATGTATATTGCAGAGATTGCTGAAAGTAAAATTAGAGGATTTTTAGCCTCTGTAGTATATCTTCAGATGTTGGTTGGATTCGTAATTTTATACAGCGTTGGGCCTTACTTGCCTTTCTATGTTACACCAATTATTGCGGGAGTCGTACTTATTATCGAATTGTGTATATTTTCCTGGATGCCTGAAAGTCCCTACTATTTACTTTTTATGAACAAATATGATGAGGCAAAGAAATCTTTGCAGTACTTCAGACCCAACATGGATATAACTTTGGAATTAAAAAACATAACGAAAGCAATAGAAAGACAGAAGACAGAAAAAGGAAGGATTCAAGATGTAATTATGGTTAAAAGCAACCGCAAAGCTATAATTATAATGGCCGTCTTAAACGGCGGACAACATATAGTTGCCATTAGTGTTATACTTATGAACTTACACGTTATTCTAAATTCTGCTGGATCGATTTATATGGATTCCGCACATGCTGGTATCTTATTTGCTGTGATAATGCTCATATCTGCTAAAATCGCTTCCTTACAAGTAGATAAATATGGCAGGAAAGCGCTTCTGCTCTTATCCACAGTACTTACAGCTTTTTGTCTTCTAGCTCTAGCTGTTTATTTTAATTTAAAACAGTTGAACTACGATGTAGCTAAAGTGAGTTGGATTCCTATAGTTTCTGTCATGATTTATGCAGCTACTTTTAAAATAGGTTTAGGTATAGTACCAATTGTGATAACTGCTGAAATATTTCCTGCCAAAATTAAGGCTTTGGGGATGACCATAGCAGATGCTTTTTATGTCATAGGCGCTATAATTAGTATTCAGTTGTACACTTGGTTGGAATATTCTTATGGTATGCACGCACCTTTCTACGTGTTCACCATTGGCAGTTTCCTTATTGCAATATTTATTGTGAAATGTATTCCAGAAACCAAAGGGAAAACTCTGGAAGAAATTCAATTTTTGTTGAAAGGAGAGGACTATTTAACAATGACCAAGAGTGATCCGTTGTTAAATGGAACTCCTTAAAATCAAGTAATATTGATTAGGTAGATTAATTATTTAATTAATTATTACATTTTTATTTTATAAATAACAATGTTTTTATAAATAAATTTATTTTTGTTAGTCCATTGATTTTTTTATATCTTCTGTTATTTTCATTTATTTTTGGTTTGAAAATGAAAGCACCTTTGTATTTTTTATTTTGGTAACTTAAATTGAAAATATTCTTATTAGGTATGAAAACATAATTATCCGAACTTGTTTAAAATATAGGGTAACTTATGAGTAGCGTTATTATTTTTAACAGATTGCTTCTTGGACTACAATGATTTAATGTTTAATAAAACTTCTAAATTTAAGCCGTAACTGATGAGGTGGGGTTTCTCAAACCCCACCAAATCTAAAAATCATCACCACGTACTAAATAATAGCGGTAGGCCCACTCCCGTCTGTGTAGTTTTCGGTTAGTTATTCTTCAGTACTCTAGCTGTAACTACGATACGCGACATTTTTTCCGGTGTATGATACTACAACTTTTGTACCAACTGGGGTTTGCGGGACCTCACCTCAGCAGTTACGTTCTTTTTTATTCGTTAGGATTTACTTCATCTTCTATTCGTACAAGTATTAGAAATTAAAAATTAAAAAAAAACGACTTCAAAAACGTGCAGATGCCATCATCACATCTTAACCAAATGTATATGGGACCACCCCTAAGGTACCCTCTTAATTACAAAAAAAGAATCATATAAATCGGACAAGGTGGTAAAACATTATCGCTAAACATACATAAAAAATGAAGAGTTTGAGGATTTTCTCATTCAAGTCGGATACCGTGTTAAAGAATTATCGCTGAACATACATAAAAAAAATATTTCGATGAATTGAGAACCTCCTCCTTTTTTGAAGTCGGTTAAAAATGAAGGTAGATATCCCCGTTTTGAAGAGGAAGCTGAAACTGTTTTGGGTGAATTAGAAGGTGGCGATGAAAATGACAATCTATCAACTTATATGTATTCAAAGTGATCACAAGACTTATTCAGACACATAGCTATCCCAAAGAGACCAGGAAAATGTTGATGTGGAATCGGAGCAATCATATTCATCGTCTGATGATCAAGATTCGCCGTCAACAAGAAAAAAAAAATGAAATCGAAGAGTAAAAGTTAATACGGGAAAAATAAATTTAAGTGGTCTACGGAACCTCCAAATCCAAACGTTTGTACAAGGTGGCACATTTTTTTTATTTTTAGTTTGCAGCACCTAGCTACATTTTAGCCAAACAGCAATTTTTCTTTATAATAAACTTAAGTTAACCTATGAGGCTTAAACGTAAGACTTCACCCAATGGTATTTTCTCTTTTCTGTTCTGATAACTATACGCGCACTGTACTTTGCTTTAGCACACTTTTACATCACCAATTGAAATGGTTTGGTCCTACTGAGCCTTCTCATTAGGTATTGGTTGTCCAGGAACTGTAGAACTTCAATACTGACGTAATCATGCAATCTTTTTATATGTTTTTGCAATGGTTTTCCTGTCTTTCTTCTTTGACTGTAGGCATTCTTAGATCTCTGTGTAGGTCACCAAGGGGCGTTTACTATTGCCCTTAATATTCTGAAAACATTGTATTATATTTATGTTAGTTTCACTGGCACGCCCCTAGGACTGTATGCCTATGACTATACTGGCTGCAGTACTTGTTTATAAATTAAAAGTTTATTTTTTATTTTTGATTGAAAGTTTTGATTTTCTATTCACCAATCAGTATAATTTTCTATATTTGAAACCCAACTCCGCCCGTTTTTTCTTTATGTGTTCTTTCCACTTTAATTTGACATCTAGGATCATTCCTAAGTATTTTGACTAAATATAATAGGGTATTCTAGTATTATTTAGTGAAGTTCACCTGAACTGTTTAACCTGAACGTTGAGCTTTTTGTCCACTCATAGATTTTATTAGTTTTCTGGTCGGTTCTTCAATGATTCTACCGATGGCAAGTATGGCCGTGTCGTCGGCAAATGTGGCTACTTTCACATTTTGTTTGTGGTATGTCAGAGGTAAACAACAGGCAAAGAACTAGGACCAGAACATTTCCTTGAGGTACCCCTGCTTACGTTTCTTTAAGCTTGGAATATTCTTTTCCTTTTTTACTCGGAAGATTCTATCAGTCAAGTAAGATTTTAAGATGTCACAATATTGCCTAGGTAGAAGTTTATTTATTTTATATTCAAGGCCCTCTAAATATCCTTTATCGAAAACCTGAACTACATCTAGAAAGAGTGAGGTGCAGATCTTCTTCTCTTCCAGTGTTTTCCCTATTTCATTCGTTATTCTGTGGACTTGGCCAATAGTGGAATGCTTGTTCCTAAATCCAAATTGGTGGTCAGGTATTATATTTTTACTGTCTATCAGTTGTTTCAATGTTTTTAGTAAAACTTTTTCGAAAAGTTTAGATTACACTGCTAACAGAGATATAGGTATATAGGGTTTTACTTCATTTGGTGGTTTCCCAGGTTTGGATATCATTATAATTTCAGCGACTTTCCAGATACTAGGTACATGCTCTAGTCGAAATACAGCGTTTATTATATTAGTAAGTTTAAGCACAGCTTTTCTTGGCAATTGTTTTAGTATTTCACTTGTAATCAGATCATACCCGGGTCACAGTTTATTGCTAAAGAAGCAGTTAGCTCACTTGGACCAGTTGAATGTTCCAAAATAATATCCACTCCAGGGATTCAAATTTAGGATGCGCAGAAGACTGCTGTTTAAATATAGGCGGTTTTCATCTATATTGTATTGGTTATGATTTGATTCTCTATGCGCCAGGGATACAAATCCGAGTTGCGCTGTGTATAAACTGGAACATTGAGATCAAAAATGCCGACGCAGAGTGAGCGAACTGATTCTTTAGCTATAAACTGTGCCCGGGTGCTTTCTTAGAATTGATATTTTCTTTGATTTAATTAGCTACCTCTTTAGGCGTTATTCCTATGAATTTCTCTTGTTTTAGTAAATCGAGTCCTCGTTCTTCATTAGGTTGAAATTTTTTTGGAGGTGATCTGCAAAGATTCAATTTTGAATCAAAAAAGAAATTATTTGGTTATTTTTCAAAATCTTTAAGATGTTAAGGCGGGTATGAATAAAAAAATGGAAGCACAAATGACGCAAACCAATAAAAGATATTTATATTTGTCCATAGGTGAAGAATACTGAATTTTTATTGAAAAAAGTAATTTTATATAAAAATAGTTGACTCCAATGTATCCAAACCTAACCGAGCCTCATTATTGCTGTAAGCATAAGCACAAGGAAGGTAAGTCTCACAAATTTATTTCATATCAAAAATGTCATTAATTTTATTATGTTATTAATTTTATCAGAAATTACAATTTTTTATTTTTCTTTTTACTAATATATTTAAATAAATGAGACTTAAACAGTGAATTAATGGTCTTTTGTTATTTTTAATTTGGGTAGTTATTTGTATTTAAAAACAATTAATACAATATACGCGCATTTGTAAATAATAAATACACTAGTCACGGCAGCATAATAATAGCGGTGTAAAACTGGTTGCATAAATAGTAGGTTTCCGAGTCTAGAGGGGAAAGCCGATTTTGTGACTTTCTCGTGGGTGTATTAAAAATTAGCTCATTATTTTTGAATATGAAATTGAAGCAGTTAATACAAGATTAGTACATCGTAATATAACAATAAAAAAGCAATTATAAAATAACAGTAAATATTTTATTGTGATACGAGAAACATTTTTGATGAACAATTAAGTGTAATAATCTGAATTATTTAAATTGCATTTCTTGTTGGCGGATATGGATTCAACGACTCATAAATTACGTGATACAAGAATATAAATAGCAGGTATCTACTTTTTATGTGTTTAATTTTGTCAGTGCTTAAATATAACCCACATACCTACACGTGGATCTTATGATATTTATTATGATACCGACTTCATGCTGTATAAAGCGGTAAATTACAAGTTAAAAATGTAATTTTAAAATACCGACTTCAATCGTGCAGATGTCATTACAAATTGAATTTGATTATAGATCAGATCTTGATTAAGTGTATGTGGGACCACCACTGAGGTACCCCTTTCTATTAAAAAAGAATTATAGAAATCGGACAACATGGTAAAGAATTATAGCTAAACATACATAAAAGAGTAGTTTTTCTACACTTACATTATAAGCTGATCTACGCACAGATTACGAAACGAAAGTATGCTATTTCGTTCAACTGAACGAATATATTTTATATCTATTCTAAATAGTGAGAATAGGGAAAAGAGTTGTACCTTTGGACATTTTTTACTTCTCCAGGTATTGTGCTGACATCTTTCGTTCGAATAAAAAAACCTATTAGCTCTGCAGAGGCTATAACTGTAGGCAACTGTTAGCCAACAATCAATTTTGACAGCATCAATGCGTAGACCACTACTAATTGTTCAAGCAGTTGGTGATGGTACAACATGTGGTTTTACCATAGGACAGCGTGGGTTCTACCTTGGGACATGGTAAATAATTGAATATCATAGTTTTTATTATGTTAAAATAAGCCATAACTTTAGGTAGTATGTATTTGTTTTTTGTTATAAAAATATGTTCATACTGAATACAATTTATTTCAAATTAAGATCCGGTGGGAATAAAATGTTAAAGAAATGAAATCCACGATGTATTGTTGGAGTAGGCATTACTTTCAATATATTGCACAGATTAACACTGCTGATGTCGACGCTGGGAATACAAAATGGGTTCTTTGTTTCCTGAGAAACTTATTGGTCACATCTGGTCCAGATATGTCTTGTTCTACTACTAATTCAATGTATTCCTTTAATTTTACCGGCGATTTGAAATTTAACTAGAACCCAGCTGCCTTTGGAGAAAATTAGCTGATCTTCGTTGGTTGGAAATAAATTAGAGGAATACTTATCTTTAGAAGTAGAATCGAATCGACTCCCTCCTGAGCTATCGCCAAGGTCAGGTAATTCTTCATCAGATGAGGATGATGAAAATTCTACAGCTCTTTTAGCAGCTTCTTTCTTTGGGTATAACTTGCATTTTTTACTCTTTTCCTCTTCAATTATCTGATTCTCTGGCGTGTCAGTGGGAATCAAACACCTCCCAGGTTTTCGTCCTCTACCACAAGATTTCCTTGGTGGTGCTCTGGGAAATGGACGAATTTGTTCCAGAGTTATAGCTATAGATAGTTTCAATGCATTGCTTGTCCAAGGTGTCTTTCTTGATTGTTCTCTGTTATTTTGCCTCTTCTCACTTTCATCCGGCAGTTGAACTTCAGCTGCTGCTTCTGCTCCAGGGTATGGACTGTTTGTCATTTCAGCAGGTAAAAACTAATCATCTCCGAACACTTCTGCATTAAAAAGTCAGATGCCAGCAGCCCTGAATCCCGAGGTGATGTTATTTGGCATGAATACCAGAGGAAATGCTTTCCCCAAAGTCGTTGTAAATAGAAATAGGCTTTCCGGGGTGGTTGATCATCCAATCCTTTGCAGCTTTTTTATAAAAGACTTCGAGAGGTCCAAAGACAGACCAGTCCAGTGACTGGAGTTTGGGGGGAAACGCAAGAAAAACGGTGCCGTTTTCTTTCGCCAAATTTATCGCTTATAATTCAAGGTGACTTTTGTGGTTGTTCATAATAAACAACACTTCATTACCACGAGAATACTTGACCACAGATATAAAGTGTTTCAGGTACTTCACAAATAGTTCTGCATTGAACCAACCACTAGAAGTTGCCATACCGAGGGTACCGGGTGGTGCATTGTTAATATTGTATTCTTTGTAATGAAGACGAGGAAATATGATGGCTGGAGGAATAATTGTTACAGCAGCATTGACGCAAGCTGTCACCATTACATTTATTCCACGTTCTCCAGAGGTAGCTGCTCCAATTTGTTTCGCCTTTACGTTACCTAGCACACGTGACTGCGTGTGAACCGTAGAGTAACCCGTTTTGTCTAGGTTTCAAACGTTTTGAGGTTGGAAGTACCTTTCATATATTTCTTAGACCTTCCCAAAAAATATTTCAGTATTTGGTTTGTTGAAAGATGCCATTCGACCTAGGCTAGTAGACTTCGGTTTTCGAAGATATATTCTGTTTTTATATGAATTACGAAGAAAGTTCGATACCACTGTCTTCCTGCGTATTCACGTTCTTTTTATTTTTCTGGATATTTGACTTTGTTTGCTTCGGCATATTGGTAAGCTAATTTCTTCATTTCGTCCACGGTCAAACCAAAGTTCCATTGTTTAGCCTTTAAAATATATGAGAGAAGTTCTTCTTCCTCAACGGTGAAGACTTTTTGCGTCGCATTGTTGGCTTCGTATCTGAAATCAGTTTGACCAGGCAACTTGCATTTTTTTAAGTGCTTGGCAAGAGTGCTTTTTGATAAACCATATATTCTCGCCACTTCTCGCACAGACTGTGATAACATCCTTAACAGCTGCCTCAACATTTTCTGCTACTGGTTTCGTCCTCTTTCTTCCTGTGGCACTTCTACCATCTGTAACAGTGGTGAAATTGCAATTTATTGTAAAAGTTATTTATTTATTAATGTTAAACAATTTATTTTGTCAAAACGTTGTACCTTGGGACAGCTATTTATTGATTTTATTTAATTTCCACTACTGAAAATTGTTATAATTTACACTGTTTTCTTTTTCTAGTATTTTTACAATTACAGCACTGCAACTCCTGTTGCTTATTGTATTATTTTTACCTTTTTTTTTTTTTTTTTTTTTTTTTTTTTTTTTTTTTGAAAAAATAAAATGTATACGTGTAGTTGATATGCCAAAATTAAAAAATATCTACCAAAAATACACGAATTATACGCAGCTAGCGCTAGTATCGCTTTTGCTTCCCCTACCATGACTTTACACTGAGCGAATACTATTTTCACATTTCCATTACATTTTATAAATAATCATTGTATAAATAAGGTTATTTTTAAGCAGCACCAAAAATATTGATAAAATTTATGTTTCATATATTTTAAATAAAACAATTTATAAATAAACAAGTTTCTATTTTCATCATAAATAATACAACAACGTACTAAAGAGATAGTACTTTGGTCAATTAAATAAATACACATTTTGTTATGTACAATCACAATAAATATTTTTTGTTTGTTGCAATTGTTTGTAAAACAAACGATGAGGAAGTGGATAAATAACAAGTTCACTCCACTTTAAATTGCTAAATGGGATAGGAAATTTTCTAAAAATTACCCTTTATATATAACTACTGTAGTAGAAATAGTACAGTAAGTATTTCAACCAAACTCCATCATGTATATTTTGTTCCAACAAGTATTTTAAGACATGATTTGATTTTTACTTAATTTTAGGCCTTTTGACATTTATAAAATATTGAAAACATTTTATTTTATACAAATATCGACAATGTGACAACTTTCTTGTATTTCACCTATATACTACAATTAACAAATTAACCTTTTTTATAAATTTTAATTTTCGTATATTTATATAAAAAAAAAATAAATTTTACAACGTCAAATACTAAAATTAACACATAAATTAAAAAGTCCTATTTAATTTGTAATACTATTCGTCAAAAATGTATTGTATGATTTACTAGAAATCAAGTTAAGCAAGGAACTCGTCTTGGGCACCTCGCCTTTCAACAAATACTGTATTTCCTCCAAAGTCTTGCCCTTCGTCTCCGGAATGTACAAGTACGTGAACAGTGCTATCACAAAACTAGAAGCAGCAAAAAGATAGAAAGGAAGATGCAATCCGTAAGAATACGCCAACCATTGGTAAATTTGAAGACTAATAATCGATCCGACTACGTACATGAGATCTGACGTAGCCATACCTAGTGCTTTCATATTTGTAGAGAATATTTCTGCTGTCAGAACTATCGGTACTATGCCTATACCTATTTTGAAGCAGGCTGCATAGAACATAACAGCTACAATTGGAATCCAGCTCACAGCTTGTACATTATACCCACTTAATTTTAAATTGAAGTATAGAGCTAAAGTACCCAAACATAGTCCTGTCAGTATTAATGATATTATTAGTAGAGCTCTTCTTCCATACTGGTCTACCTTTACTGAAGAAACGCAGGCTGCAACGAACATTATTACACCGAAAATTATAGCAGCTTTAGATGAATCAATATAGATGGAACCAGCAGCTTCTAGAATACTATGAAGATTCATCAAAATTACACTCAACGCGCATAAATGCTGTCCGGCGTCTAAAATAGCCATAATAATTATAGCTTTTCTGTTTCCTTTTACTAAAAACAGATCCTGGAACCTACTAGTTTCAGTCTTTTGACGAATAACTGCTTTGGTAATATCCTTCAGCTCAATGCTAATATCTGTATTAGGTCTAAAATACTGTAAAGACTTTTTAGCTTCCGCATGCTTTCCTTTACTTAGTAAATAATAAGGAGTTTCCGGCATAAATGGAAATACTATTAATTCAGATAATAGAACTAAGATTCCTATTATTGGTGATACATAAAATGGAAGAAATGGACCTACGCTATACACTATTATTAATCCGAAAAGCATGTTTAAATAAATTATGCTGGAAAGAAACCCTCTTATTTTGTGATCGGCTATTTCTGCTACGTACATCGGCGCAGCAACGAATGACGTATTAGCTGTCACTCCGAATGTAAACCTCGCGATGAATAGCCACACCATGCTCTGGCAAGAAGCTATAACGATCCATGATACTAGTGATAGTACGGCTGCAAGTAATAATGATCGTTTCCGTCCTATTTTATCTACTAGGTATATAGTGAATGGGAGACCTAGGAATGACCCGATCATCAGACATGATTCCAACCATTCTGCTTCGAATTTTGTAGTCTTAATGTGACTGTTTTTGCTTATGAGGTAAGGTATCATGGGAGCAGTCCATCCGTAAGACATACCATCCGATATGGCGAAGAGTGTTCCTGAAAAAATTAAATTACATAATTAGAAATTATGATATATTAAATAATGTGAAATATTAAACATTCTTGTGTACGGCTTTTTTGGAATTTCAGAAATATACTATTTGCTCTTTGATGACTCTAAAAATTTGTTTACGGTAATTTCTAAATAGGTAATTAATAAAAGGAAATGGTGAGGGTTTTTCCTTTTGATTTTAATTCACACATTTTTCAGTAGGAGAGAAAAAACAACTAATGATCTGAAAACTAAAGTTGAAAATTTGGAAATATGAAAATAAGCAACCCAATTCGTTCTATGAATTTAATGGAAAATAAGGGCTCTTAAATGGTTCAGAACGACCATTATACAAGATAAATTAGCTTTAAGATTTTCTCACTCTATGGGGTAGTTTATAGAGACCTACTTAACTAATGCTAATAGTACTTCAAAAAATAATTATTAATTTACTTTATTATGTGTTATGTATTATGTGTAAAAAGTGAGTCAGGACTTCATGAAACACCCTGTATAATTAACATTCTGTCGATATGTGGAGTACTGACATAAATATTGAGGTAGGATTTTATTTTTTTAAATAATATATAAAGCTTATTACCTCCTTTTATTTTTATTGAACTGCTTATTATATATAAATAGATAGTTAATACTATTAATCAATATAATTCTTATCGCAATATTCAAGGGGGTATGCGTTATAAATGGATAATCAGTGACCTTTTGCGCGTCGATCGTCATCAGTTTTATTTCTATTATATCTAAAAGTGACGAGGAAATAATTATAGTAAACAAATGATATTGATAATGTATAAATCATTACTTATGTATATTTTAAGAGTTAAAATTCATGTTCTATTATGGATTTGTTTCGGGTTAAATCTCTCTTAAATATATAGAGACGTAATGACCTATTTTGTCAGTAATACAAATGCAAAATGATGAAATATAAATAATTAAGATCGTTAACATTGGACAAATTGATTTCTAACGAATTTTTAACTTTATTATTGATTATAGCTAGTTCTTTTTGGATTGAAGCAAAAAATTAAATTTAAATTAATGAGGAACAATAAAGACTTTATATAAATATAATAAATTAATAAAATGCCAACTAAAAAAAGTTACTCCACAGCCAGCAATAATGATATTATCAATAAACAATCTAGCAAACTCCTGTTTGTGATCGATGGGTGCACAGATAATCATGCTAGTTTAACAAGGGATCCCAACGATTTAGTAAAAGGCAGATTTTTCGTTAAATGCTACCACAGTGATAATCGCAGAACTTGAAGACTACTGCAAGACGCTACTGGAAAGTATCGAAGATGCAGAAATCCTATACTACACATGCGAAACCAAAAAAAAAACACATGCGTTCGTACTTAGAGGGCTCGAAAATGGCATTGACATTAGGCGCATGAAGGAGGACCTTACGGCATCCTACAAAATAATACCCAGACAAATTTACCGTCCACTCTACCTAGTAGTCTCAGAGCCTGCAGTAACATTAAAGTACCTAAATTAAAACATCAGGGTCATTGAGAACATCGGACGAAGAACGAAGAATATAATGCAGTGCCATAGATGTCAATCGTGGGGATATGTAACGGCCAACTGTGGAACACCCCTAAAATGTTTAAAATGCGCGGGTGTCCACCTAACAAACACGTCAACTAAAACGCGAGAAACCACCGCCACGTGTGCTAACTGCCCGAGGAACCACCTGGCAAACTATTCTCAGTAGAAGGCCTTCTTTGAGAGGACCGCAGGAAGGAGGAGAGCAGACTCAACCTTAAAAGAGAACATACATGCAAGCATCATCCCCTACAGATAATGGTTGGGATAGAAACCTAGGCACTAAAAGTACCTAAACGAAAGACGTATCAACACTGCTTAATAATAATCACCCACAAATACAATCACAGAGAACTTCAGAACAATCAAGACAAACGGGAAATCCAGCAAGGTCTATGGATATCTTCTCCCATAATCGTGAATTTGCCGAGCTCAACTCAATTATATACATAGCAAAACTCACCAGCACAGTTAGAGATTTTAACAGATTAATAAAACAATGTAACAGCACAACAGAGTACTTCATTACATTCTACGACTTCATGTCAAAGCTATAATAGTATGAATAAAAGAGGAGAACAGTAAAAGTGGGGATATAACGTCACATTTCATAGATGTACTTTGCAAAATAAGTTTCTATATAATAAAAGTAATTTTAAAAAACCGACTTTAAAATTGTGCAGATACCATCACCTCATCTTGACCAAATGTATAGCGGACCATCCCTAAGATATCCCTTTACTAACAAAAAAAAAATTATAGAAATCGGACAAGGTGGTCAAGAATTACCGCTAAACATTTATTAAAAATGAAGAGTTTAAGGATTTTCTAATATTTTTTATTTTCAATATACAGTAAATTTGAAACTAGTGCACAAAAACCTTTATTAAAGAAATATATGTATGGTAATTTAGCTAGAGTAAACGTAAATGATTTTAATAGAGATTTAGAAAGACATGATTGGGATCAAACTTATCACATTCAAAATATAGATGAGAAAATAGCATATCTTAATACTAATATATTAAACTTGGTAGACCAACAAAATTAACCAAAAATCAACCTTGCTCATGCAAAAACTTAGAGACAAAGCATTAAAAAAATTTACAAAAACAAAATATGCAGCACATTGGGAGTACTATAAAGAATTAAGGAACTATACCTCAGCTGCCACAAAACGAGAAAAGAAGACATACATGGAGTTTAAATTTTCTAATTGTAATACGAAGGAAAGATGGAAATTATTAAAAAAAATAGACGTTAAAAATATTAACAAAACAGCATTGCCACCTGCGTTAAGTAATCCCAATGGGTTGAATAATTTTTTTGTTTATGATTCTATGAATGATCGTAAACCAGACACAAATATAGAATACTTTAAAAATAATGTAATACCAACTGTGGAATATACTCTTTTATTTATCTATAATACACAAGAAGAATTGTTCCATATATTAAAAAAATATTAAAACAGAAGCGGTTGGCTTTGATCAAATAAATATTGAAATTTTATTACTCTGTTGTCCATCTGTTGTTCCTTGCTTAATATATATTATTAACAACTGCATTGATAGTAATTTTATTCCTACTGTGTGAAAACATGCTTTTGTGATCACTATTCCTAAAAATACGCGCCTTACTCAATTTTCGAATCTAAGAAGCATTAGTATTATTCCCACAATGTCTTGATTATTTGAAAAGGTTTTAGAAAAGCGCATTTCCTCTTATGTCAACAAATTTAATATCTTGCCCTTAAAGCAATCAGGGTTTAGAAGTGGATAACGGCCCTTATTTCTGTAACAGATGACATAATAGTGCAATCATTAGATAATAATGATGAATGTATTCTAGTACTAATTGATTACTCCAGAGCATTCGATAACTTAAATCATGAGATAATGTTCTCTATATTTCACTACATTGGTTTAAGTGAAAATTCATGCTCTCTTTTAAAGTCCTATCTTATAAATAGAGTGCAGCAAGTAACTGTTGAGGACAAATTATCTGATGAAATTGATATTCAGCTGGGTGTATCTCAAGGAAGCATATTAGGTCCGCTGTTTTTTACTTTGTACACTTCGTATTTTTACAACTATTTAAGACACTGTAAATATCATCCCAAATTTATTATTCTTTTAAAACATCCAGCATTTGCGAAGGCATTAACAATATTAATACTGATCTAGCCACGATTGTGTCACTATCGGACAAGCTCCATCTTAAAATTAATCCAAAAAAATCGAATGTCGTCTCATTTTGCAATAATCTTCAAAGGTGAACTGTCTTGTCTAATCTAAAAATTGAACCTCATAATCAAACTTTTTAGTAGTTCAAGAATACTTTAAGAATTTGGGTTTAATCATAGACTCCAAACTTACGCTTTAATAAACATATTACTGATAAAATGAAAAAGTCTTATTATTCTTTAAAATTAATTTATCCTCACAGATTTGAATTGAATATTGAAACTAAAAAACTACTAGTCTTTATTTCTGTCCCAATTTAACCACTTTGACATGGTTTGTGGCCCTTTCTGCGCAAAGCTAATGTAAATAGGGTACAAAAAGTACAAAACTGTTGCCTTAGGTTAATATTTGGTATTAGGCGTAGAAACAGAATATCCCACAAGCTCAAACCAGTAAAATGGTTAAGTATGTTCAATAGACGGAAACTTCATGCCTTATGTTTTTGTTATAAAATAGTGAAAACAAAAACAAAAACCCTATCTTCTTAACAAAATTAAATTTAGAACTGATGTACATAATTTGAATTTAAGAATGCGCCATTATATTACTACACCATCCCATACTAAGGAATTGTTTAAAAGTTCATTCCCTTATCAAGTTGCTTCTGTCAGTCATCTTCTCAATATACCTAACTTTAAAGCATTTAAAAACAAACACATAAAACAGCTTTTTATTAATCAATAATATACATATTATTATTTTGTGATTGCTATTAAACAGCTCTTCTATGGGGATATTATTACTAATTTAAAATTTATTACACATATCTGTATTTCTTTTTATTGTTCTACACTACAGTATTTATTTGTATGTTAATGTTCTTATATTTTTTCTCTGCATTTTGTTACTGTACCATATATGTGAAAATCTTACAACTTTGTTTTATACATATAAAAGTAGACATATTTTTCTTTAGTTAATGAAGGGTGGTGTGGAAGAATCGGTCTTAATGATTTAACACCATACCTAATATTTGCCGATTGTTGTAGTAATGTAAACTTTATTATTTTACTACATATTTTTTTACTGACAAATAAAAATTATTATTATTATTATTATTACTGCTATCTGAGATATGGTGAAAGTGTTACTGACTTTGCAATTGTTAAGATGAATACAAGATTTTGTAAGGTAGGTACCAAACTGACCAGCGATAGGGGTTTTCCATGTTTTCTCAATTTTATTTTACCAAATTTTACTTTAAATTTTACCCATTAAAATCTTTACTTACCAAAAGTTGCAGCGAGTAGCTGCGTTTTTGTTCCAGTAAATAATCCAGCGTCATCTTCCATATTGCATGCACTTAACACAACTGACAATATTATCAATGACAATTATTTATATCTTCCCGATAAGAACTGAAGACGTTACATTAAAAAAATGTGATCGGAGACACATCACACTACGAAATAAATGAAAAACACTGATTATCGGAAATACATAGTTTGGGCATTAAAGCAAAATATTTACTTAAATTTTGAGAAAGGGGGTTACTGCACTGGGATTCTTTAATATTTTAAGTGTAAGGTCATGAACATTATTTATTATGGAATGTTTAGTCTTCATGCACCATCAATATTGATCAAAAAGCAATTTTTGTACAGAATAAACATGTATTTGATAATGAAACACTTAAAAAAAATTGATGACCTAATTTTACTTGGTTATTGCCCTATAATAAAAAATTTAATATATGTATACATCAACCGTTTATTATCAGTGAAATAGGACACCAATATTACCAAAATGTAATCGTAGATTAACCCCTAACCTGAAGAATCGATTATTTGTCTATAATTAAAGGTGTGTGTCTCATGCAAACCTACAGAGAAAAACAGTACAAGGCGACAACACAATAAGGTATTGATAAGGCAATAATATTTGAGTGGTCCATATAAAAAAATTACCACTTGTTTTTCATTTAGATTTCTGTAAAAAGTAAATTTTTTATTACAAGTTTTTTAATGTTTTTTGTTTCGAAGGTACAATGATTTTTTTTTCTAATGAGTATGGAATTCCAGAAAAGGTTAGAAATCTATGATCTACCATAATATGTTAAATTTTATTTTATTTTGAATATTTTCATCTCTTCATCTCTCTCTAAACTGAAAAGATTAAGAGTTAAAGAATAGCTACTAAGCTACAGAGCTAATTTTTACCGTTTATGGATAAATATCATTTATTGTTAGACATTCATTAGGCCAGTCAGTAAAGACATTTTAGACATCTTAGACATGTTAGATGGAAGAATAGCCTATGGCTAAATCTCGCTCCATTGCTAAAATTTTTGTAATATTTTGAAAAATTATCAATAAAGACGGTTTATTATTATTATCTTATTTTAAACATTTCACATTAATTACAAAAGTCTTCAAACTTTGTAATAATAATTGGTTAGTTCAAATAACACTTAAGTTTAAATTTGCAACCATTTCCAAAGTCCGGAACTAGCTAGTTTATACCATTTTGTTTATAATGTTGAGAAAAAAATTGCAAAAGTACTGCAAACTTGAAGCAATATATATGAAACGTTTATTTGAAAATCAACACATGTCCAGTTGATTGAAATTTTGGCTTATAAGTTATTCTCATAGAAGAATAATATGTACATATATTTCAAGCATCCAATACTGTGAAAATAGCAGTTGTCCGGGTTAAAACTAGTGCCAAAGTATATATATAGTTTTAGAAGAACACTTGATGTCCACGCCACAATTTATAGCTATAAACTATGTCCACGCAGTTTGTTGTAAAAACAAGACATGTCCATATATAGATAGTTTAGTTCTAAGGTAACTAGATGTTGTTGTTGTTTATATTTTGTAACGGCCGCAATCGTTTTAGTTTATTAGTAGAATTTTGCATATTTTGACCGATTTTAAGTTTCAATACTATCTAAATATGGCAGAAAATATTCAACCTAGTACCTCTGGTGTTGTTGGTGACAGATCAACCACGAAAACGAAAAAAGAAAATTTATAGGCGGGAAATTATGAAACATGCAAAAGTAAGCCGGCTAGAGCACAAAACACAAAGTTGTTACAGCCAGAGCAATAAGAAATGACTGCAGGCAAGTTTTTAGTGTAACAATAAGTCCATACTTTTGTTTTGACTGTAACTTTTGGTTATAGATGTTTCCAGATTACAACAGAAGAACAGCGTTCCGAGTTGCTTAACATGTTTAATGGTATAAAGTCAAAAGATGAACAGGGTTCATACTTATCTGGACTTATTACCATAATACCTGTCCAGAGGCGTCGCAGCCAAATTGATCCAAATATAAACAGAACTGGTTCACCACATATAGCCTATTTTAAGTACAAAATTCGACTACCTGGAAATGAAGTCAATGTGTTCGCTGAAGCTCTTCGTAGTTTCTTTGGTGTAACTGAAATGCAGCTTCGTCAGATTAGAAATAGCCTAACTATGAGTGGATTTTCACAGACGAAAGGCCGTGGTAAACACGCTAATAGGCCAATAAAGACTGCCATTCGACGTAGAATTCATATTAGCACATATTTCTTCATTCAAAGGCTGACAGAGTCAGTATATATGAAGACTTGACAAAAAGAAAGTGTACCTTCCATCAGAGTTTAATGTGAAAAAAAAATGTATAATGCCTTCCTAGAAATTCACACAACAACGACAGTTTCTTACTTCCTTTATTACAAAATAAACTGAAACTCAACTAAAACTCCCTGATATCGACCAGTACAAGAAACCTTCATCAAGCTAAAGCAAATGCGTTTTATGATATTAAGAAGAAAATTAAAACTAAATGTCAAAGCAATCGTAAAGTATCAACAATAGCTTTTGATTTTATGCAGAATCTGCCTTTTCCCAGCTAACAACAAAGTATTTTATAGCAGGCAACTTTGGCATTATGTGTTTGGAATACATGACATCGAAAGCAGTGTATGTATATCATGAAGTGATGGCGAAGCGCGGTAAAAAGGAGGTGACATCCATGATATTTCACTATATCAAAAATCATATTCAAGAAAGAATGGATGAAATCTGGCTCTTCTCTGATGGTTGTCCAGGCCAAAATAAAAACTACGTTTTCATTCGTTTCATGTACATGCTTGTACACGTTCTAAAAGTAGCCTCTCAGATAACACACGTCTTCCCAGTTCGAGGACACTCTTATTTACCTTGCTATAGTGACTTTAGTCTCATTTCTCGTTCAAAAAAGTTATCCTTGATGTTCCAGAAGAATGGAACGACCTTATACGACAGGTAAGATGTAAGCCCTCTCCATTTAGGGTGATAAATGCTGGAAAAGAGACTGAATGGTTTCTTGTGGACGAAAGTTTAAAATTCTTCTTTTTGAAAAATCCCAAACGAAAAATTTCACTGAAACCAGAGCGTATTTTTACAAAAAAAAAATTTCTGTGCAAAATAAAAGGTTGAAAATTGGAATAGCTGTTCCAAAAACTCATATGAGTTATGTTTGCAGCACTTTTGCAATTTTTTTGTCTATGATATAAATAGAAAAACATCATAAAAATAATAATAATAATAATAATAATAATACTCTCCCTAATTTACCCCCTTACGAGTGAATTTTAACCCCAAAAGCTGAGCTTGTGTGGGGAAAGGGACGGCCTATTATTATTATTTGCCGTGGTGCTCCGGGGCGACTTAAAGATGATTGTTGAAAATAATATTGCTTCAAAAAAAGTTGCAAAATTAAATTGAAAACTTTTGTAATTAATGATTAATGATTATTTCTAATGACTGGCCTACATGGTTTTGCGGTCGTTCGGTGATTTTTCCTCCATTTTCCCAAAAACAAGGTTTAAAATTAAACATTTCAGTGCAGAAAACCCGTTTTTAAACTTCTTCCAGATTACAACTAATCTGGTGTAAGGTCATGTTGTTATTGCAATATGAATCATTTAAGGAAATCGTATAATTCTAAATTAAAATTTCCAAAATTCTAATTTTAAGATAAATAATTAGATTTCTCGCAAAACAAGATTTAAAAATAGGGTATTTTTAATACAATTGATAATTATTTAAGTATTAGGCAAAAGGCTAATGTTTTGATGACGTTATTTGCCAGTTCAACGCACTGGCAATTTAATTATGTTTAAAAGTTAATCGCGTATTAATTCAACCATTTAAAATTGCTTCCAAAGAAGATTTTTCTTGAAAAACAATTAACACCTTTTTTAATAATAAATTATAAAAGCTATAAGTACGTACACCTTTGTTATTCAGATTTGTTTCTGATATTTAATTTGTGTTAAAACAAACTATCATCAAAAAACTTAATTGCAAGAAAAATGGTTATCAGTTGTTTTTTTTGCAGTATACAGGTCATTGGTATCAATAGGTACGATTTTCATACAAAACATGTTAAAGGCGTAAAATATCCTCTATGATCCAATACTACTTTATATTTAATATTCAAAGCGTTTAAAAAAATAAAACTTTTATATGTATCAATTTCCTGGACAACCCTGTATAATTAAAACTAGTTACACATATAAAACAATGCAAATAATTTTGGTTTTACAGACCAAGGCGTTACCAGTGACCCAACTTGTATAGTATTTACATTTTAGTTCTTTAATTTGGGCTTGCATTTCCATTGATAGCTAAATGCCAAACAAATAAGTTAAAAGAAAAAGTGAAAAATCTAGAAAAGCTCTCAATTATATGTTAGTTCTTCTAGAATAATTCACTGTACTTCAAAAACATTCCAGATAATAACATTATCTTTTTGTTTGGACGAAGCCAGTGTTTAAATATATTGCAGATAATTCCCGAAGAAATGGAAGATTCCTTAACAATTGGTGCAGTTGTATTTATATACCATAAATATTGATTTAAGAATACTGGATTTTAAAAAATAACTCAAATATCAATAGAAAGTTAAAAAAAATTATAAGAATCTATTTTTACGTTTCATAATTTTATTATAAACCAGAAAAGCACAAGATTAGTGATCTGCTCTAATTTCATTTAAACCCATCGCTTTTGATAACCTATTTCAAGTTTACCTTTACTTCAATTACATTAAACCTAAACAAGCGGATTTAAAACATAATTGGGCATGACATTTTATTCACAAACCAAAATAAAGCAACATATAAGTAAATTAAAGGGCACAACAAAAAATAAATGTAATAAAAACATTTTTAAATCAAGAAATGTAGGATAAAACAAGAAGCTGTAGAATTGATATGGAGCTTTTAGGTTACCTTTACAATACTACATTAAAAAAGTACCTACTTGACTATTACTAGACATAATTATGACACGTTATTGCAAAGTACTAAAGCACACCCCTGGTGGTCGATTCTCAACTTGTAGGAACCTTTTCCTATAGGAATTTGTGACACTTTCCTATATGTAGCAAAATGTCATAAATTTTCGATGTATAGAAAAATGTCAAAAATTCGTATAGGAAAAAATTTCTACGAGTTGAAAATCGACTCCCTGAGGAGTGCGAAAAAAAGATGTGACTATTGGAACATAGTCAGGTTCTTGTTAACCAACCTTAAGAGGTTGGCAACACCTTGATGTTAGATGACATGTAAGCGAAAGAATCAAGTAACAAGCTGTGAGATACTTAAAATAAAAGTTATAAATAAACGGTCATAAAAGACCAAAACAATACATGGTGTCAGGTTGCCAAACCGTATTGTCTCAATGAATTCGAATTTTAAGCCACCTAAGAGCATTTATTTCGATCAATATGCCAGTCAAAATTTCGAAAAATTTCTAGACAGTTTCAATATAATTATATAACAGCGACGTACCTGGCCAGCCAAGTTGATGAAAGAAAAGTGGCTAATTTCTTAAATGTCGCGGGAGAAGACGCTTAGGACATATTTAAAACGTTCAATCTGAGTAATGAAGACAGAAACAGAAACAAAGAAGTGTTTATTATAGAGAAGCAGAGAGCTTAAGCTCATAAAGTGACAGTGCATATATTGAATCAGTTATACTGGATAATATAAGCAATACTGAACAAGGTAATAATGTTTGGACAATTGATATATTGATAAATAATGATTTTATAAATTTTAAGTTAGATTCAGGTGCTAAACTGCAATTGCAATTAAAATATATAAAAAAAATAAAAGTTGAAGACAAAATTACAAAAAATAAGTTGGCACTTAATACTCATGGTAATAATAAAGTAGTAATTGTAGGTCACATTATTTTACAACTTATCAAAAAAGCTAATTTTAACATAAAGTTGACATAACATATTGAAGCATAAGTAAAAATTGGTTTAAATAATAAAACAGATTCTGTAAACACTCCTAATAGAAATGAGCTTTAATCATGCCAATGTCTTTCAATGCACTGGCAAAATCCCTTATCAGTATAAGATTGTATTAAATAAGAACTAGTAGTTGTCGAAGGGTACCTGATGCTTTAAATCCACGACTTAAAGAAGCTCTAATAAATCTTGAAAAAAGAGAAATAACATCTAAAGTTGAAGAGCCAACTGATAGGGTCAATTGTATAGTTATAGTGGAAAAACCATCAGGGGCCCTACGAATATGTTTAAATAAGTTAATATGTTTAGACCAATTTCCTATTCCTACAATTGAAGAGTTGTCACTTAAACTAAATGAAAAAAGTTCTGTTAAGTTCCCCTTGACTTAAAAAGTAAAAAATATATACCTACATTCATAACACCGTTTGGAAAATTTTGCTTTAATAGACTACCTTTTGGTTTGAAGTATTTCAACGCATGAATGAGAAAATGTTTGGTGATTTACCCATATGGATTTACTTTATTTCATTATAAGTGCATCAACAGAAAAAGAGCATGATAAAATACTTAAAGAGGCAATGAAAAGGGCAAAAAAGTTTGAAGTAAAATTTAATAAAAATAAAATTTAATATAAAGTTTCTGAAGTTAGTTATCTAGGTCAGGTCTTCTCAGCTGAGTGTGTTAAACCCGACACTGAATATGTCAAAGCTGTGTTGTTGCTTAAGAAACCTGAAAACCAAAAAGAGTTATTAAGAATATTAGGTATGTTTAAATATATTGTCTAAATCTATCTGAATTATTGTCGCCCTTACGTAATTTGAATAATGGCAATGTAGAATGCAACTGGACAAAATATCATTCGATAGTATTTCAAAAAATTAAAAACATTGTTACAGAAATTCCTGTATTAAAAATATTTGATCCTAAATTACCCATAGAAATACAGACTAATGCAAGCCAGAATGGCATTGGCAGCTGTTTATTACAACAAGATAAACTAGTAGCATTTTGCTCTTGTAATATGATAGATACTGACTCCAGATGGGCACAAATTGAAAAGGAGTACCTGGCAATTTCAATACAATTTTGAAGTTTAATACTTACCTGGCCAATACATGTATATAGCAGATCTCCTGTCAAGATCTGTTTTAAACACTCCAGTCAAAGATAAAAGAGAAATGAAAAAAATTGTTCACTCTTTTGAGTTTGATCTACCTATATCTAAGGACAGTATACATGAGATCAAAGCTGCTACAAACAAGAATCCAGCGTTACTGCTTGTAAAAAGGTGTTGTCAAACAGAATGGCCAAATAAAAATGCAATTGTAGAGCCCGATATAAAATCATTTTATAAAATTAAAGATGATATACATATTATAGTATGAGAGCCCACTGCAAATTTTGATCGTCATCTTCTAACGAAAAGAAATATGCTCCAAATGCATGTAACAACATTGTACTTTACCAAATTGCACCTGTGCCAACCCTATCCTGAGCAAAGTGGTTAAAAAAAAATTTTATATTCAAAAAAATCACATAAGACATGACAGCGACAATTGTGTTTTCCCTGAAAATTACAATCCTAATTCATTGTGAACCTAGCTTTTAAACCTTAATTATTAATATTTTTACCTACCTTTTAAACCATGTTTATGTATGAAAGGAAGAAGTATGGCATTGTATAAACCATTTGCAGAAATAGTCAATAATAATTGTTAGACAATTATTTTAAACCATAATCATAGTAGTTTTTTTGTCGTTTCTATGGCGACCTGTAAAAATGAATCACAACAAAAGGCATACAAATAAATTTTTAAAACAGCAAACATTGATTCATATTTTTAATGATTTTTACCTACTAATCGTGGATAGATGTTTTTGTGCGATGTTAAGAGGAAGAAAATGTTTCTCTTTAACGATATATATCAAGATATATTTGAATGTTATTTTCTGGAAAACTTTAAGGGCAAACAAAATTAGCGCCGTCATGCCTTATGTGATTTTTTTAATATAAAATAATATTTTTAAGCTACTTTGCTTAGGATTGGGATTGGCACAGGTACCATTTGGTAAAGTACAATGTTTTTCCAAGCTTTTGGGATATATTTCATTTCGTTATTAGATGACGGTATACATTTGCAGTGGGCTCTTGGGTTATTAGTAATGATTTAGTATTTCATAACTGTAAATTAGTTATTCCTAAATCTTTAAGACAACAAATGCTAAATAAATTACATGTTGGACATTTTGGCATTGAAAAGTCCAAAGCCAGAAAAATATTTTACTGGCCTGGTTTGTCCCAAGATGTACAAAACTTTGTAATAAAATGTAAAACATGTCTCAAGTATAGGCAAAATATCCCTAAGGAACCACTTATTCAGCATGAAAGGTTAAATATTCCCTTTAAAAAAGTAGGTACTGATATATTAACTCATGTCGGGCGCAATTTTTTAACTTTAGTTGATTACTTTAGCAACTGGGTGGAACTTATTCCTTTAAAATATGAAACTGCAGAGGAAGTCATTGACAAGCTTAAAATTGTATTCTCGACTCATGGCATACCCTTTAAATTTATGTCAGATAATCAACAATTTAAGAAGTATTATTATTCAGGTAATGATATTCATAAAGCCTTATTAGAACACAGAACATCTTCACTAACTGGTCTAAATATTTCTCCATCAGAGCTTTTAAATATAGGCTGGCTTGATTCAGGGAGATGTGCACTTAGTAAAGCTAAACTGTTGTGAGGCAACTAACCTTGCAAATACAGTAGTTAATCGCCATTTATACAGTGTGTATGCGACCTACCTTGCTTAGCACATATACAGGATTTAGTGTTTTTCAAGTTTTCATTTGTCTCTTTGGATATTTGTAAGCAACGTGAAGTTATCAGCAAAGATTTGTATGTAGCTTTGCTTTATTATGTACACTTACTTTGTTTTTAGAATGCTTAGAAAATAATAACACTAACAGTTGCAACTTTCTGTGGTCATTTATATGAAGGACAAAGTAAGGATTAAAACAATATTCGCGAAAAAATATTTTTTATTATTTTAAGTATACAGATTTATTATCACTTAACCTAAAACTACACAAGTAGATGCCTTAAAATAATTAAAAATGTAAAACTGTATTATATTTATAAATACATCTCGGTCACATTTGAGTTTGGAATTATTTCCTTTTTTTATAAATACAAATATTAAACAACAATTAATTAGTCAAAGGAGACACAAAATAAGAAAAATTTAAAATTCGTATTGGTAATAAACCTCAAATAGTTATTTTGGGCACAATGAATTACTGCAGTTAATTAAATGTTAGATAACTGAGATATACATTGTATTTGTTAACCCTTGTATAACAAAGCTTTTTTTAATTCCTATATTTGAAAAATAAACATAATTTGATTGTATTAAATTTATTGGAATTCAAATGCTCCGGGTAGTAATTAAAAAAAATTACATGAAAATTATTTTTTAGAAAAAATTTAAGTAATATTTTATATGGATTACCTTTGTAGCATAAAAATATGGAGCCAAGAATAGGGTGACGAACAAAAATAGAAAGAAGATAGATAGATATAAAAAACCACGCGTGAGGTTCAAATGCACCTCTCTTGGTAGTACAAGGGTTAAAGCAACTTAGTATATTAAATCATATAATAAAATTCGACTCTAAAGAATAATAAAGTAAAATTATGATTACTCGTGTATCATGTGGTACTTTTACAAAAATATTTTTTTAATTCATTTACCGAATTTTTATTTATTTATGTTTTAACTTAAATCCATCCGGATCATCCTTTTTTACCAAACTCATTAAATAAAATAATAGATTAATAATTAATTAATTTGTCATAGAAATTTAGTTTTAGATATAATATAATTTTATGATACGTATTACTCCCAAAATGCCTAATTTGTGTTGACTAAGAAACTTATAACAAACATAAATTATAACAAAAACACAAAAACAAATATTTATATAAAAAAAAGTTTCATCAATATTATCATTTAGACAAGGATCTTTATAAAGGTGTTTGTGCAACGTTTCATAAAGAAAACAAGGGATGATCTTCATCTGGCGTAATGCATACGGATATAAATAAAATTATATCATCACCAAGTTCGTCTATTCCAAGATCATCAAAAGCCTCGTCTATATCCTTAGCCAATTGTTCACAGTCCAAATCTTCAAGGGCTCTAGTAGCTCTTGCTGCTTTAACAGCTTCAACATTTCTTGTTACTCTCGCTGCTTTACTTTTAGCTAAAGATCTTTGTGAAAACAGGTTAGATAATAGAGACGCATAATTTCCAGATGAACCTGAAGCCGTTTTCGCAATTTTCACTAGAGCAACTAAATCCTCTATGTTTTTTATACCCTTTAGTGGTTTTGAGCCGCCTGTAAATAAATAATGTATGGTTAAAAATGATTTAAAGCTCAAAATATTGTTAGAAATATAAGGTCTTGTAGAATGCGATTACAATAACAAAAACACAGCTACGTCATAACTATTATTTCGAATTTTAAATTCACGGAAAATAAATTCACTAACCATTAGCGAACTTTTACTTACCGCAAAATAAAAAGTTGTATACTATATGGGACAAGTAAAATGTTTAATTATAGTAAGTAAAACAAGATTTCTGAAGCCACCTCAAACTGTGGCAGGCCACCAAAATGCCTGAAGTGCGCCGGAGATCATCTCACTAGAACTTGCTTAAAAACGAGGGAAATCCCCACCACTTGTGCGAACTGCCTGGGTGATCTTTCAGCCAATTACACCCAGTGCAAGTCGTACACTGAAAGAGCAGCCAGATTAGAGGAGAGAAAACTCACACAATCTCAACCGAGAAAATACAACCCTTCACCCCCACCAGCAGAGAACGCCTGGGACGAATCAAGAGTAAATAGGAACAAACCAAGAACAGAAGACTTCCCTGCACTTCCCACTTCGAGCAGGCAAAATGTACAATATTCCCAAAATAAACCACCCCGTACCCAATCCCAAATCCCCACACAATTTGAAGGTACTATGGATGATATTTTTGCCCTAAACCAAGAACTTGCAGAACTTAATAGCATGGTAAATGTAGGAGAACTCACTCGGGCTGTCAGAGAACTCAACGCCCAATTACGTAAGTGTAACAATAACCCAGCACAATACTTAATGACATTCAACAACTTCATGACCAACTTAGATAAATTCAACATTAGGAACTAAATTCGACAACTAAAGTGTGACAAACTGAGAATTTGTTTTTACAATGTGCGCGGGCTGCTAAACAAGATCGGTCTTGTAAGCAATTTCATTCACAAGCATAAATTCGACATCATAATTCTGACGGAGACGTTCCTAAAAACAATAAATAAATAAAAAATATGTGAGTTGTTTAGTTTTAAAATATTAGTCCTGTATTAACACGACACTAAATCTGCAGTAGGCGGTGATAGCCAACCAATTGATGACGTAGCTGCGTTCTTCTTACTGTAATAGGACCCTTACCCGTTACTAAAAATAAAATAATAAATTTTTTGATTATCATAATGCAATCTCATGTTGTACATGCTAGATGAGTTAAAGTTGCGTAGACCTTACAAGTCGTACGATTGTTGCATTTTCGCTATGACCTATTCATCCACTGTGTTAATAATATCAGGTATTGCGATCAATAAATCTCTTATCGGGTAAGTTTGGTAATGTTTTAATTACCAGGATTTGCCTCATCGCAGCTAGTCCTATGCAATATCAGTGATTCCGTTTTGGTATTGTATAGGATTCAAAGTAAATTTAACGGTGTACTTAAATGTATGCAAATAATTGACCGATCAAGGTAAAATTAGTATGAAATTTACATATTCACTCATTTAACACAAACTGCACTTATGTTTTCGAAAAATCAAAATACTTAATCATTTATCTCATTATTTGTAAAATGTTATTTATTAATTGGTTTTATGTGAGTACTTACCAATAGAACTATCACCATTACATAGAAATGATGGACAAGCCAGAAGAGCTGTAAAAATATCACAACATTAAAAATGGTTTTACAATAAGATCTAAAGTAAATAAGGTTAGGTTTAAAGAATCATGTTAAAATTATAATTCTTTTGACTGTGCAAAATATGAGAACCGCATTCTGTACATAGTTTTGAACTCAGAAAAGCTTGTAGATTAAGATTATGGATGTTGTCAGGAGGTTTGTTGGTTCATTTATTTTTTACAACCCATCCCTTTAGATATCAAGTAAATGGACTGAGCAAATGCTTTGGAACCATTTTAATGATTGTTTTAGTGACAATAACCAATGAAAAAAAAAAAAAACAAAAACAAAAACAAAAAAACCGAAAAATAAAGAATTGTTTATAAAAAAATCATTTAATATGAAAAGCAAATTTAACATAAATCATACAAATAATCAATCTTTCTGCTTCTGACAGTCATTATTAATACATTTGCTAAACGAAATACAATTTAGTTATTATTTTTTACAAGAAAATGCCTTTGTTTGACAATTTGATGTACATTTATAGGGTTGAATCAACAATTCTGACAAATTTACCAAATTTTTTTATAGGTTAATAAGGTGTAATCAATATGATATTATTTATTCACACATATGTTTATTCTGAAGTTCTTAACAAAAAATGTAAATGAAGAGTAAAATGAATTGAAGACCTTTTCACAAAATCAACTTTTGTTAGAAAAAACAAAAAACATTATACTAGTTTCATTATCTATCTTTGACAGTAAATATATCCGTTTATGTGTTTCTTTTGTAGAAAATCAACATTTGTGATGGGCGGTATATACAACATTTGGCCACCAATTACCACAGTTCACTTAATTGGGGCATTTTTGGTCATGTTTCAATTTATATCGACATTCATCAAAAGTTAATTTTTTTTTTTTGAGACAAGATATGTGCAATAGAACTGTTTGTACAAAATCCAACGATGCAGCTTCTAAACTTTTTTTTTTCGAGCTCAATCTGCTAGTCAAATCGCAAGCACTTAGAGAGTGTAATGCTGGCAAGATACGACAAATGTTTTCGACACGGGAATAAGCAGCCAAATTACATACTGAAATGCATTTTGTCTTATAAGAATAGTTGAATCATAGACCTTAACAACCTAGCTTATTCCAGAAATAAATTTGTAGAATAAAAATATCAGTATTAGTGCTAAGGATTATGATATGGGTAGAGCGGATCTTTACTGCGTAAAATATGTGACAAAACACCCTTGAATCGGTTCTAAATGGTTTGAATTTAAGTCAAATACTTCAAAAAATTAAGAGCATTGTAATTTAAAGGTGAAAAAAGAAGCCTCTAAAAATTTGAGCTCTTAATATTATCATTTAGTGGTGCCTGTTCGTAACTTTCCATTTTCCATCTAAATAACATGGAAATTTTTTTTTCTTTTTTCTTATTTTTGTAGCTGGACATTTGAGCATTGTAAAAATAAAGTGAAACATTATTTTGGTAGGAAATTGAACGCTCTACAAAAAGTTTTAACATATTTTTTTCATAGAGTGAGCCGTTCTGAAGATATTCAAACTTAAAGTTGCAAATGTATGAAGTTAGGACTTTTATTTTATTAAACTAATACTGATAACTTTTTTTATGTCTTAAAAATTATTTTTAACCAGAAAACTGGTTTTTGTGCGCTTATCTTTTTGGAAAGCTAAAATTTAAAAAAACTACATCTTAGATATTATTTGATTAACTGTTAAACAAAAGTAATTATGAATTAGGTTCAGTAAAATTATTATTTTATAGATTAAAAAAACTTTTTAAGGAGGTCCTTTCGCCACACCTCTCGCCTCAAATGTCAAAAAAAAAAGTTATTAGATTATGACTAAAATTAATTTTTTTCTAATAGTTGAAGTCCTTATTTATCTAATACTGAACTTTTAACTATACCTTACCTTACAAATTTTTGAGAATTTTTTTTTTAAATGTGAGTATTTGTACAGTGCCTCACGAGAAAGTAAGTCCTCAACAACAATTCTCGAATTAAGTATACTATTATTTATTGATTAGATGGAGTAGAAAAAAACTAAAAATAAGGTTTTTGAAATATTTAGATTTTGTTTTATACAATAAAATATATATAGTAAACCGTGGAACTTATTGAGTAATTATAATTACCTAAGTACCCTTATTTACTTTAAATAGTTAGTTTATTTTGTAATGTTATTGATGTTTTCTTAAGTACTTTGTTTTGTTAAATTATTTCGTATATATATTGGATACCGAATTGTAAATAGTCACATTTGAAAAAGAAGTTGTACTTCGAAACATATGTCATGTTAGTGTTTTTTAAAAAAAAAAAATTTTATTTTTATTTTTAAAATAAAATTGTGAAAATCTACCAAATTTGGTTTTACTCTTTCAAAATTAAATGTATTTTCATCAAGTAAAGGCCGAAATAATAAATAATTCTTATAAGACACTACAGACTATTATACCAGCGCTATGACGCATCGACGCGCAGAGCGATGAGAAGGGTGGAGAAAAAGTAAAGGGGCCATCACAGCTGCCGGAAACATGAGTTTATTTCTTGTTTGGTGTCTTACGTAACATAATTTGAGCATAATTGCAGGCCCTCATATTTTGAATACTCAACTTCCTTTCGCGCCTGCATTACTTCGTAAAATCTGTTTTATTATAAAAAATTAATGCTTCTAATAGCAAACTAAGATCATTATGTAACTAGTTCCTGGCTTCTAGCATTATATAATTACATTAACCATTCATAAATTAAATAAAGTTACATTTTTCCTAATTGGTCTTCTCAATCGTTAAACTCGGTATTGGGAGACTGTAAATTCAGATTGGATGCAGTATTAAACTCAGTAAACAAACAAAGTCAAAGTATGGGCCGGCATAATAAATGAATAAGTTTTTTTGATGTAACCTTGACAGATACTTACAAGACCATTTTCTGAACTTAATCGGTTGTTTCCATAGAAATAATATAGAAGACCAATATAAACATAACATTTAAGCAGAAATTGAAACCTACTGTGTATAAAAACGCGTCTCTGCGCCTGACATCGCAAAATAGTGTGTCTAGAAGCTTGCGCAATATGCATGACTTGTCCCTGTAGTGTTGCCAAATATATTGAACATACCTAACAGAAAAGAATTTTAAATTAATTAATTTTTAAATTATATAATTTAAACAGTTTATATCTACGAAATATCGCCACAAAATAACTTATAAACATTTAAATAATCAACTAAGAATATTTATGTGTAATTACATTCCCAAAAATATATACAAATACCGTATTAATGTCATTAATACCGTATTTTTAATGTTCAATAAGCGATTCACCTACAAATTCAATATTGACCTGGCAATAGCACTAAAATCCGGTGTTTCAAGGCTATATGACGCTGCCCTTACAGGACCGTTTGTAGTTTATTATTTATGCCGCGTTTGAGAATCCACATCGGATGCATCTGAGATGTAGTAAGTAGTAAATCTTTGATCACGTGATTCAGTATACGTAAATGTAATGGGACAGATGTGTCCGATGTGGATAAAAAACGCTCGAGATGTAAAAAATGCATCCGATGTGGATTCTTAAACGCGGCATTAATTACACGATGAAAGTGGCATTTTATTTTTAGTTTTGTGTAGTGTTTAGTCAAATCCTAGGTACAATAAAAGACATTTTTACATTGGCCAATGAAAATGTAGTCAATGAATTAGGCAGCTGTTATATTTATTACAAGATTTATGTCTGCAAATCTAAACCTACCTAAGAATTATAATTATGTAAATAGAGAGATGTATATTTATATACAGGCTGCCCAGCGACGAGGAGACATTGGGTGCTATGATTGAACGTTTACGTTATCCGTAACGTACATGTTAGGCCGAATTTTAAAAGTAACGAGGCAGGTTCGGATGATGGAAAACTGTTAAATTAAAAGATAACAGGCGGAAAATAACAGTAACGTGTTGGAAAATGTTTTCCATCATACAAACTTGCCTCATTACTGTTAAAACTCGGCCTAACATGCACGTTACGGATAACGTAAACGTTCAATCATAGGACCCATTATCGATATCGGTTTTAAGGCATTTTAAAACAGAAACCCGATCTCAACAATCTTAGGAACTCTTCTGTCACTCGATATTTTAATCGGTACTTCCTCTTCGCTTTTTGGCTGGCACAACAATTATTTACATTTCTTCATTCCTTACCGCGTTCGAACCAGTAAGGTTTAAAGAAATTTAAAAAAAAATCTACTTTAAAAATAAAGATGTTAATGATTTTCTTATGGATCCCATCTTCAGATCTTGACTTAATGTATATAAAACTGTTTCCTTTTCTAACAAAAATAATCCTAGAAATCGGGCAACGTGGTAAAGAATTATCGCTCAACATACATAAAAAAATATTTCAACGAATTGAGAATATCCTACCATTTTGAAGTATGTTAAAAAAAATTGTTAATAAAGTGAAAAGTAGGGCATGAACATATATTATAAAGTATATAAAATGATAGATAAATCCAGTTTAGACGGTATTATAAATAAACTGTGGAAATATCGAGAATCTCGATTTTGAATCGGAAAAATATTCTACGCAATTTAGTATGAAAGCTGATCAAAATGAAACACATGAACGACAAACTGTTATTGACAACTTTCTTCAAACGTTTTCTATTTTTCCGAAAACTAACTAGATAGTTCGAAAATCATTTCCTTCGTTAAAACGCGTCTTGTTCCGAAAAAGGTACACGCCTGTCAACATTCATCGTTCATTAAAAAAGTGGTAGATACAAAACGCTTCGTATTGTAAGGCCAAAATATATTTAGAAATCGAAATAGTCATATAAACAAAAAAATCATATAAGTGAGATAACTACCAAATTAATGATTTACAAGTTTATTCCTATTATTTATAAAATAGGTTTGCAATGTGCTGGTGTGGAATGTTATCATCGACTAAAAACTTTAAATCTGTGTATTAAATTGATCGAAAACAAACTATAAATTGGTTTAGGCTATATAGAATGTTTCTAGTAAGCAGCAACTAATTTTTATTATGGAACCGAAAGACCCTTTTAAAAGGGTTCAAAATTAAAATAAAATATGTACCAAGTAAATGTAGTAGTATTTTTTAATTTTTTTATTTATATTGAAAATGGTAACATGAAAGGTTTTCTGTCTATCGAACATAATATTCCTGGGCCCTATTTTGCACTCCCCAGATTAAATTTAGTTGTAGCAAATGATATTATCAAATAAGATGTCAAATCACAAGCAAAATCTCGTGACTACAGTACTAATGATTGCCTGTTTGGAAAAGTATCTTTGTTTGTAAATATTTATCCGCCCATTATGTATATACGTTTAGTTACCGACCCTAGTAGATAGGCAATTTGTTATTGTTTTAAGTTTTACCGTAGGGAGAGAGAAAATCAATATTAGGATAAATGGTCCAGCTCCTTTCTGGTTACGTAAGTACCTAAAAAGTATTTTAGTTTTGGGTTAAGTAATTAATTATTGTAACAGTAATTTTCTTGTGATAGTACCTAATTTAGATTGTAGATTAAAGTTTTTGTATATAATTTCGCTGTTTAATAATAAAACGTAGTCAAAACCGGAGCACGTGGTTTTTCTGGAAAGTATTTTTAAAATCACAAGCAAAATCTCATGACTACTGTACTAATGATTGCCGAAAATTAACTAATTCATATTTTATGCCATATCTTTCTTAATAAGGACTGTCAGAACCATATTTACCTTAACTTGAAATTTTTTTAATCGTTTTTTTGTATAGAATCATCTCTAAAAATGTATGATTGAAATATCGTGTGAACAAATATGTTCGATCAATAAAAAACTTGCACCGGTCCTGTTCGCGCCAGCACCGTTATACGCATGAGCTCCGACACACTATTTTCTCCTTATGGTTTCATTTTTGATATATGGAATCGGCTTTCTATACTATTTCTATGGTTGTTTCCAGACATAAGTGATTTGTGATTTTTGCAAAATAATGTTGTCCCACACTACGTTTTCTTGATAACAAACTACGGTCAAAGTCTTTCAAGACAGGTGGATAGAATAAAGAGTTAACTGAATGGCCACCTAGGCATTCAGGTATAAGTAGGGAGCTTCTTAAAAAAGTAAAACCTAATTTATATTAATCGTCTCCGAATAAAAATAGCAGAATAACTCCGTAAGTTAAAGAAAAAACTAATAATTTAAAATATTTAAAAAAAAATATTTAAATATCTTACCACTTAAAACTACAGCAAAGATTGTAAAACGCATATTGAGTTAATCAAATTGTACTAGTACAAATAATGAGAAATTAGTGTATCAAGTTTCTTTTTCACTATGATCATTTAACAAAATTCTGCCGTTTATATACCTTCATATGTATTGGGAAAATAACATGTAAATAAAATTCATATTTTAAATACACAACAAGTTAGAACTAATAAGAAACATAGTTTGAAATTAATGACGCATTTTCCAGACGAAATTATCAGCATTATTATGATTTTTGTATTATCTGCTATAACATTAGAATAATATTAGGCTGATGTAGGATTGCCACCTGTCCTTTTTTGAAATGACAGTACTTTTTTGAAGCAAAATGTCCTTTTTACGGCAAAGGTCTTTTTTACAGCATATATCCTTGAAAGGGATATGATTTGTACAAAAATATATAAATTCGGTAAAAAGACGAGGGGGATTTGTTTTTATTACAAGCTCGGCGACCTTTTTTTGTAAGTTCAGTAGAATGTTATGTTATGTTGATAATGGGGTGTTAATACACTGCGACCTAAAAGATCTATTGTGCCCCCTTCTGTCGTCACTGCACTAAGGAAATGTCTCAATGCCGATAGCGACCCTTCCAATCCTAGTTCAGTGGAAAAATAAGGACTTTTTGTATACCGGAGACCCTGTCATCATCTTAGTTCTTCATTATTCACTTTTCAAAAAAACTAATGAGTTTGATGAGTGATGCTTAGGTGATCTTTTAATAATTTATGGTATAACAAAAATATAATGGCTTGATGAATACCCACATTGACCAAAACTGGAAACTAGTTACCATATAACTCTCTCCTTTTAATGAAATATGTTGGTAAAAACGTTGTAGATCCTTTATGTTATATTTATTAAAAATTAGTAATAATAATAATAATAATTAGAAAAGTGTAATAGTTCGATTTTTCCTCTACGATTTTATTTGAGAACTGCTTATTTTATACCGTTGGTTGTACCACACTTCTTTCGAAAGAACTTTTGCGTTCGAGGTTGTAGGTAGATATTTTGGCTTTCTGTGTCATTAAAAGTTGATTTGAAACCCAGATTTTCAGTTCAAGTCATCGAGTTAGTAGGATACAACTATTTTTATTGTCCATAAGACATTTACAAAAATATATTGAATGAATCATGAAGAAAAATTTTTAAATATTTTAAGACTAATAATAAAATTATTTCCAAATAAGTATAAATTAATTACCCAACCATAAAATAAATATTCGCTATCAACATGAGTCCGCAGATGCAGTGTGTTTCAGTTTTACAATCGGTAATACACTGCACCGCAAAATTAACCGGACACTAAGTGTATTTTAAATAAAATTAAAAAGTATTAGAAAAACTTAAAATCCAATAATTTTGTTTTATTGCATATTCAATAACAAACCCTAAAATTAAAAACAAGTTCCAAAATATTGATTAATTTAACAACAAATAAAAATTTATAAAATGTTTGTATTCCGGAGTACACAATTAAGGGGTATTTTTCTGATTGAAATCATAAAATAATTCTAAGATTTGTTATTAAAGTTATTAAATAACTCAAATTACTTTGAAAAAGAAGTTGGGCACCACTATATTTAAAACTTACTATACTTGATTTTAGATTAGTGATAAAAATATAGAAAATCACTAACCACTAACAAATTATATTTAAACCAAGTTTTAGATAAAATCATGCGATTTTTTCAGTAATTCTATACAAAAATAATGTATTTTAAAATATCGGGTGGTATTTTCTAAGAGGAAATCAAGAAATTTCACTTAAAACGAAATACTCATTTAACTTTGTCTTTTATGTTCCTACTTTATGAATTACGCAGAATAGACGTTCACTATTCTTACATAAATATAGATCATTAGGAAGTCAAGCGATTCTTGATTGATGATTTTTCTGTTTTTATGGATCTATACAGGGATGAATGTGTGTTATTTTTTCTGAATAAACAATTATTAGTTTTCATTGACTAATAAATGTTTTTAAAATAATAAAATTAAAAAAAAAATACATGCAATTTTTTGTGTGTTATATACAAATTATATGCAGTAGGATCTTTGCTCTTAAAGTTCTTAGCGATTTGCGATTTTATTAAGACAAAAAAATAATATCTTGTCTTTATTGGTCCTACTGTTTGAGGTAATAAGCAGAATATAGGTGTAGAGAACATATCATTAGAAAGTTGAGCGATTCTTGATGATTCTTCTGGTTTTCAATGTAAATTATTATAAAAATATAAAATACAACCAGATTGCAATGTTACTCTTTATGAAGAAATCGTTGTTCATTAGAATTAATTTGTCAAATGTTATAGCCAGGGGATCAGCAAAAGAACTTTTCAATAATTACAAAATTCCGGCTAACGGCAAAACTATAGAACGAAATTCAAGCCGGCTTGTCAAAACCAGCGCAGGAACACGACTGATTTATCACAAAATTTAGGCATAAGTCTGTCAATTATTTAGCGATGTTCATCATGCCATTTTAAGCACTTTGCAACATCACGCTAGAAATAGGTGCCTTTTAGGTTTATTACAGGCTTGTAAAAATATTAAGACCGAGTGGACTTAAGTTAAGTTAAGTTAAAGGTATATCAATACCATTTTATTCAAAACAATCGAACCAAAGCCTTATGATTGGTTCTAACACTAAATCAACATATCTCGGACCGGTTAAACTTTTTTGAAATGGTAATAATGGAGTTTTTGCTTTCACCATAATACCTGTCCAAAACATTACAGTTTCTCTTTGATATCTTGAGACATATCTGGCAGCGTAAAGTCTCGCTCATCTTCCTGGAGCTCTGAGAACCCGAATTTGATGGTCATCAAAACAAAAATGAGGTAAAACTTTTTGTTATAACGAGATGCACTTTACTTGAGACACGTAAGATAGAGGGAGTTACTAGCTTTAAATTTTCTTATGGAAAGTAGTATGTGACACTTCATTTAAAAGATATTTTCTATATTTTTACAACAGATTTAGGTTTTTATATTTTTACATAAATTACATTAACTAAATTCATAAAGTAGGTTAAATTCTTTTTTTTATTAACCGCTTTAACCTCAAAGGATTATTACCGGAGGTATATTACCTTATAAATGCTGTTTTTACAATAGTATACAATGGATAATTAACATTTTGGCTAGTAGAGAGTAAAGTCAGTATCTTTAATAATTTTAAGAAATTTTTTACTGTTAGAAGGAACACTGCACAAATGACAATTTTTTGTAGCTGGTACTTTGTTCTTATACAGACATGTTCTGGGCCTTTACTAATAAGTTACATTCTTCGATAACTCTCGTATTAACTATTATTGTTTATTATTAAGGAAACGCTTCTTGTATTTACTAAAATAAATAAATTAAGAATATCAAAGGTGACTGACGTATTACATTTTTCATAACTTCTTAGCAAAAAAAACTTATTAAAACATTTTCTTCTAACATTATCTAACATTTCTTGGATTATTGCGGCACATGAGGATTATCAAGAATGTAATTTTTGTAAAAACAAAACAAAATAAGAAAATTGGAAGTAAATATAATCAAAATATCTTTCAAATGAGGTATTACATGACTTTACTTTCCATTAGAAAAGTTAAAGATAGTAACGCCCTCTATTTTACGTCTCAAGTAAAGTGCATTTCATTACAACAAAAATATCATGTTCCTCTAATTTCACATCTTTTTTTTTATGTCTCTATCTTCTTGCATTTTGAAAACATACTACAAAATGCTTTCTTTTGACATCGCAGGATTGCATTAGAAAAATCTAACTTCCAATTTAACCTCTTCCCCCCTCCCCGACTGACTTACAAAACAAAGTATTTTCGTTTTTAGTTAACGCCTAATCTGGGACACTTATTACTTCAAATTTCAATTGTAAAACGACTGTGACAGACGGACAGACAGAGAGACATAAGTATTTCCTATTGCCAAATTTGGGTACTAATTAAGGATGTGCACGATGTATCGTTATTTAAAAAATATCGATTTTTAGGTTTCGATTATCGATGTTCAACATCGATGTTTTTTAATCCGATGTTATTTGCATTTTTACATTAACATCGATGATTTTCTTTTCAGTTTTTCTTGGTTTTTTGTCAAGCATCACGTATAATTTGATGGTTTACATTTCTTTTTCCTGTTTTTTTTTTGCTCTTCAATGAACGCTTTTGGAAAACATCGATGTTTACAGACACATCGATGTTTGAAAAAATTTGCGCATCCCTAGTACTAATGCGCAAATTACTTGAAAAATTATTTGTTTTTGTCTTACAAATTTTACCGTTTTTTAATGTTTCGTCTTTTTCAAATTTAAATTTGATATTGTTTTATCACGAGAGAAACGAGACAAGACGAGAGGAAGGCTCTCTCGATCGAGAGAAGCGCTCTCTCGATCGAGAGAAGCGCCTTCTCGTCAAGACGAGAGAATAGTTTGCTCTCGCCCTACGAGACGAGACGAGAGAGGCGACTCTCTCGTCTCGTCTTGTCTCGCGGCATCACTAGTTGTGACTCTTTAACTACTTTGTATGGGCCTGTTCTTAAGAGTTTCTATTTCCAAGTACCTTTCATATGTTTTCAATACAACACCCTAGGTATCGCTTACTACCTGTGCTACCTCTCATTGAAGCATTCCTTGTTCAATGAGAAAAATAATTCTTATCCTCCTGCATATCTGTTAGTCCAATATAAGGCATTTTGTTGTTTTTTGGACCGAAATAAAATTACCGGAGAATCGTGATTTTACTTCTGAACACAAAATTCACAAGATAATAAATCTCAGCAGTTGTTTCTTCTTTATTATCATGTTTGTTAAGAACAGAAGGTCTTATCTTAAAGTTAGTAACCAAATTTTTTCCTTACAAAACGTTTATTCAGAAATACAGAGTGATTCCATATAAGTTTGGTTGTGTGTATTTAGTTCCCAGATATAAGGTGATTTTCGTAACACGCACTTCAACTGAATGATATGCAGGTTTGGTATACAATAGAAGCAGTGAATTTGGGGCATTTTGTTTACTCTAGAAAAAATTCTTGCTGATGAGTAG